GGAGAGACGAAATGTTTCATTAGAGAAGAACCCGTCCAGAAGACCTATACAATTTTTTTCTTTACGACTGATTTGTATTAGTTGTCTTAAAAGCATTATAAAGAAAAAATGACTAGTCATTTCTTAGTCAGTTCCAAGTTATTTCAGTGAACTTTGTGTGTTTTTACATATTTTAAAGCAAAATGTCATCAAACCTTAACATTGTGGAGTATTTTGTATTTAATACTCTGACGTGGGAGCTTAAAATTTAAACGTTAACCTCGAGCTTTGCGTCCAGGTCTGCGTCTGAAGCCACCACGTACTCGTCCTCCTTCTTGCCCGTGGCCTTGATGAGGACCTGCTTGGTCTTCCAGAACTTCTTCTGCATGCGGGCCATGACCGAGCTGTCCTGCAGCATGTCTCCTGCAAACCTGGGGGGACAAACAGGACAAGCTCTGCTAAGTGTTTCTGTGTCAACTTACAGGTGTGTGTTGTATTCACCATGACTTACCCGTCCATCGTTATATCTGCTGCTTTCTGTACAAACAAAAACATAAAGGGATTAAGTTAGGTGATAATATGAGCTTTGATGCTAAACTCCTGCTGGCTTTGCACCAAACACCGCCAGGCATCTGCTGAATTATAATCAAGTTTATTCTCTGCTCTCTGTGTGGTCGAGCTGGGGTAAAAGGTCTGATTTAATTTGGTTCCTGGAGCAAACACCTGCGACTGGAGCCGACTCATGAGCGCTGAGAGCCAGCTGGTATCAGGACAGGTGTTCCGTTTCAGCCTGGAGCTGCTCAGGCTGGAAAACAGCACCGTGTCACTCGGATATTAATTAGTGCGAAGCATAAAGTTACAGTAAAAGGGGATACAAATAAGTCCCGGAAGTCGACAAAATAAACAATTAGAAGGAGCTAGCAGTGAAGCTAATAGTAGCGAGCCAAGTGTCACAGAGTCTTGTGAGCCTCARCAGCGAATGAGCCGCAAATAAACTCAGCATTTCTATTTTTAAACTTGTTCTTCTACAAAGTAAAATGTGAAATTAAGCGGACAACCTGCTACCTTGTTTCTACTGTTGTCCAGCATCTACAGAGCGCAGTCCAGCGGCTAGCCTCCCCTCCCGATAGCCAGCATCCTSTGAGTCACAGAAACTGGATATTCCGAGTGACTGCGGCTGCGCAGTCCTCACCGAGCGCGAGGGGTCGCTGTGCGTCAGCAAAGATCGTCTATTAAGAGTTAGATGTCTCACTGCCTGCTCATTTCCTGCTTTGAAATAAGAGATCCAAATGTGTCGCAAAAAAACAACAACCCTATACTAAATTAAATCTGCTAATAAATGAATTAAATGCAATTAACTGAATTCAGGTAGAAGCTGTTTTTCAGTCGAAGCTTTTGACCAGGAACAGCTCGGCCTCCTCTTGGAGGGCAGGGAGTGAACAGTGTGCAGGATGGGACGAGTCACAGAGGATGGAGGGGGCTCTTGTCCTTCACTTGATGTCAACCAGGATTGATGCCCCTCCTCTGCTGCACCACACCGTGAGGTGGAGGTCAGGGCTCCTCACACAGACCTGCCCTCTGCAGCGTCCTCACAAAGTACAGGCGCTGCTGGTGGGCTTGGGGTTTTTAAGTTTTTGAGTTTACACATGGTATCTTTATAAACACATAGCAGACCTATCAGCTTCTGCTAAATTAGGTCAACTTTTAGCTAACATCAACAAGTTTGTCAGTCCCATCAGTCTTTAAGCTGGACAGAGATGAAGACKTGATGCAAAATGAGGACAGTCCTCTCAGCAGTTAGCTTCTGCTAATATTTACTTGTTGAGCTGTTTAGTCTATTTTTGTACATTTAGTGGTTTAGTGTTAGCTAAGCTATATTTTTAGTCAGCAGATTATGAGTTAGCACAGCTAATTTGGTGTTTAGCTGTGCCCAACATGGAATATATCGAAGAGTTTTCAGGTCTTGAATTGCAAATCATTTGCTGCATGACTTTTCAACTGACTTAAACAATTACTAATTAAATACATTTTGTTTAGTAACAGTGACAAATCATGTTTTATTGTTTTGGTCAAACTGGTGCAAGAACCTGAGTAGGAGGACGTCCTGATGCATCTCAGTAATCCAGGTAAAAATTCAAAAATAAAAAAATTGTGTAGGTCCTCTGGACGGGTTCTTCTCTAATGAAACGTTTCGTTTCTCCTCCAAGAGGCTTCTTCAGTCTGAGAGTTTCAGGCAAAATTCAGGCTTTTAAGCCCTGCCTCCATGTGACAGACTCTCACATCACATGGCTATTGTTGACACCTAATTAACACCTATTGTTAACGGGGGCCAGAACTCTGCAGTTTTCACTCATTTACAGGCCAGCGGTCACTCTTTCAGAGATGAGGATGTTCTCATTCTTGATAGAGAGGAATGTTGGTTTGAGAGAGGAGTAAAAGAAGCCATTTTTGTGAAGAAAGACCGTCCATCATTAAACAGAGGTGGAGGCCTCCGTTTTCAGTTGTCCCCCTCCTACAGTGTGGCTATTGCCAGTATCACTCCACCCCCGTTAACAATAAGTGTTAATAGGTGTGAACGATAGCCATGTGATGTGAGTATCAGTCACATGGAGGCAGTGCTTAAAAGCCTGAATTTTGCCTGAAACTCTCAGACTGAAGAAGTCTCTTGGAGAAGAGACGAAACGTTTCATTAGAGAAGAACCCGTCCAGAAGACCTATACAATTTTTTTCTTTCTGAGTAGGAGGAAAACAAAAATTCAACAGAATGAAAAATATGAGGAAGTTGAAAGAAAAGCAGAAAGATATGAATCTTTTTGTAAAGCCAGTTTGAGTTTTTCCTGTTATCTACGTTTCCTTTGTCTTCGTGTTAGTTAGATGTCAAGACTTTTTTTAAATAAATGTTTATAACACATTATGTTTGAAAAAGTGAAATGAATGTTGTAAAATGTATAAACCATGAACTTTGAAATAAAGCTGAGGAGGCATTTAGGGAGATAAAAAGTTAATTTATATGTCCAAAGAAAAGTAAGACAAAAACCAAAAACAGTATGAACAAATCAAAGTTTTTTTATGCAGCAGAAGTTGTATCCTATGCTCCTGCGTATCTGTAGGTGTACAGCTTGTTATCTGCGCCGCCGCTCAGCATCAGCTGGAAAACAAAACCACAACAACAGGTCAGGCTCCGAAACTATGTCTCAGCTGAAGTTTACAAACAGAGGGTGAAATCTGCAGATAAAAAATATGTCTTACATCACTTTCTGTCCAGTCCACACAAAACACTTTGTCCTCGTGGGCCGCCAGGTCGTACAGAGGAGCCTTACAGCTGAAAGGTAAGGCTAGAGTTAGTCTTTTAGGCCTGCCTGTCTGTTAGCAAAATATCAAGGACAGGTTTTAAYGAAACCTTCAGTAACAATGGTGTCCTGATACCAATACCACAGTGTACAGTTCCTGTTATCTGCTCACAGCAAAGCTAACTCAATAACTTTGRAAGCCATTAGCAGACCTGTTAGCTTCAGCTAAATGTAGTTCTGCTAACTTTAAGTCTGAAAACAAAAACAAAACTACCGTTTTTATTCATGTATAATTCGATCGAGTAGAATACAATCAAAAAATTTTAGCTTAAAAAGCATAAAAAGTCTAGAGTATTATTTATTCACGAATAATACAAGAAGTTTTTTCTTCTCTGACTCTGGTGAGTAAACAGTTTATATGCTTCACCGTGTGCGAACAACAGGAGGGAGGGGGCATCTGTCAGTTATATGAGTAAGTATTGAAATCTACTGGGGTTTTGCATTTTAAAAAAAGTCAGTCAAAACTTACACAGYTTAGTAATCCATGCGCACAGATTACTAAACTGTGTGCACGGATTTCCAGCGGCTGTGTTTTTTTTCTCCCACTGACCCCTGGTGGGCTCCGTAGCAGGCTGTTAGGAACAGTGGGATTTATTCAAGTAGAGCAGAACTGCAYTTTAATATAAATGTAGATGCTTACTTGTTTCAGACTTAAGTATTGTGTATAATGTTTCCTTTACTGGACTTGGATGTGTGGATGAGAAAATTGTGGGCAGGGCTTTGCATAATTTAACAAAACGCCGTTTTGGACAGCGTTCTGATGCATTCATGGTGGAACTTCTGCCATATTTTATGGTGAAATGAGGTAAAAAGAAAACGGCAGAATTTATGAGACTTTTTAACCGGACGGTCGATTTCAAGAGTTAACTTTGAATATTTTGGCTTGCCATAATATCTCCTCACATATGCAGAGCTGCATGTGATATTGAGCTATCAGTTAGCGTTAGCTTCTGCTAATTTTCTTACCTCTTTAGCATTGGCATAGCTAATTTTTCAGTTAGCGTATTGGCAGTTAGCAATGCTAACTTTGCGGTTAGCGGTGCTTACCACTGAATAACAGTATTAATACAGGTGTTGATATTCCATTCAATGTGTTACAGCTCATATTTAAAGAAAAATGTTTGTCAGTTCCATGTTTAGGAAAGTTGCACAGGTAAAATAAAACCTTATTTATTATTTTTATTTATTTTAAAACATTGCACCAGTATACATCATACTGTATATTTGATTTGATCCAGTCAAAGGGGCTGTAGGTTAGAGCTGGGCGGTAT